TTTCAGTGCTTAAAACATAAGGTAACAATTCATTCCTATTATTGATAAAACAAGTAATATTTTCCAGTCACAGTAATTCTACTAACCGCTGCACTGTTTTCTGGTGTCGAGTGAGATCTTTTGGATGAGGAATCAGCATCTGTCAAAGACAAGCAAATTAATTGTTTTTTTTGTTTTTTTACATTCACATTATTCTGTTTTGCTCATTTTTAGTTGTAGCCAATAAAGTCATCATCATATATATATATATATATATATAAAGTCAAACATCACTATGATTGATAATGTGTCAGTTTGAGCAATGTGGAAAAATAGATGATTCAGAGAAACTAAAAGAGTGTAAGAAAGGAGCAGGAGTGTTACTGTGTGACTGACGCCTCCTCCAGAGAGTCACGATCACTAACAGAATCACACTGATGATCAGAAGCAGAAGCACAGACACACTGATGATCAGAGAAGAGCCTGAAAACACCAGAGATTCACCATCATAATAACAGATGCACTGTAAAATATAACATTTACGGTAAAAAAACGGCAGCTGTGGTTGCCGGAATTTTACCGTAAAAAAATACGGTAGAAGCATTTTAGGTTTTACGGTTTTAACTTAAATGTACGATTAAATACCGTAATTTCTGAATGAAATAAAAACTGAAATAATGTTAATATACCAACCTATTGAAGTACTGAAATCTGTTTTGAAGCTTTGTAATACACTGATAACCACCAAATGCAGGAGGTGATGAGAAAGTCACATGATGAACCAAAGCCCATCACAAGCAGCTTTTAAATAATAACATATATAGAAGCTGCACAGTGTGTCATTCACACAAACACTAAACACCATCACGGTAACACACATGAAACTGAAATAATGCAATAAACATTAATTTAACAACATTAGGTGTAACACACAACCCTAATGTACAAAACTGATAAGAAAAAACTAAGAAACAACATAGTTATTTCAACAAAAACACATGTAATGTAACGCAGGGAATTCTGGGAATGTCAATTTACGGTTATTCACTGTAAATTATACCGTATTTTTCACAAAAACGGTATGCTACCGTAAAATGACATGTAATGTTCAATACCATTTTTTACCGTATATAGTAGGGGAATTTTCCGTTAACCATTTAACAGGTTTTTACTGTAGCATTTTTAGTCTTTTACCGTTAAATTCACGGTCATGTTTTACAGTGTGGGCATGCGTGGGTTTGTATTTCAGAGCGTGTGTGTACCTGTTACAGGAGATGGAGGTGTGATCAGTGGAGGTTTAACTGATGAGAAAGAAGATGCTGTTGTTTGGTGTGCATCTCTCTCTGAAACACAGAACAGCAGTGCTAGTAACTGAGGTAAATGTTTCTCACTCACAGATACTTCACTTCCGTTTTCTCGCTGACGCTGATGCCTTTCACACATTACTGAATCACATGTTTGCGGACATACAAAACCACAAACTGTCAACTTCTGAGCATCGTGAAGCTCTCAGGAGGATTTAAAGTGTGAATAAAACACAACAGATGCAGCATCAAATGGCATTATGAGTATAATAAGAGTGTTAATTTACATACTAAGCTCAAGTCATCTAGAAGAAACTGTTCTCCTGACATTATTGAAGCAACTATGAGAACACGCTTTCTGTTATCAGCAAAATATTGAGATGAGGATGAATGTGCAAGCTTTTTTTTTTTAACGTGATGATGACGGCAGGGAAAAAACACTGTCAACCAACATAAACAAACTATAAGGAACAAACGGAAGGCTATTTATACACACATTAAAAAAATAACTAAAATGGAAACAGCTGTGGGAATAATTACCAACTATGGAAACCATGGGAAAACTGAAATGAAACAAGGAACAAATGGAATGTTACAAACTAAGAGTCTTATACATTTCCAGAACAGAAATATGAACATTTGATAAAGTCAGGTTCAAGATTCTTGTACATAATAAAAGGTTTTTACGGACGGGATTTTAGATTTCTCTTTTTATCACGGCATGTGTCAGAAAATACTGTCAACATACAGAAAAAATTAATTTTCACCATGTTTTTAGGGTTAAAATGTTATATGCAACTGATATATGAACAAACCCCTCTGTAAAACACTTCAGAATATATATAGGAATAAAACCGCTAAGTTATGAAAGAAAAATAGACCAAAATCTCAAATTGAGCCGTGCATGAAAAAACAATGATTTCGCCCGTAATGTCTTAAGACTTAAGGTTTAATTTTTGGTTTGGGAAACAGGAAATTAACCCAGGAACAAATAGAATATTACAAACTCCATGGACAATTTCAACATATGATTTCAAAAATGCTTCAGTGAAAACATTATGATGATAAAGATGTCATGTTTGCTGTGATCCCATGTTTGATTGTATCTGGTCTTTCACACTCTGAAAAGAAAAGGTTCTATATAGAACCCTAAAGTGTTCTATCAGGCGCTTCATAACTGTATATGGAACCTTTTTAGGGGTTTCCACCATGGATTTAGTTTGAATTAATTTAGTTTTAATTAATATCTTATTTTATTTAATTTTAATAATTATCAGCTTGTACACAGACTTTATTAGTATACAAAATTACATAACCTGTTAAGAATGAAAGTATTATGCAATCATTTAAGACATTTCTCCTTCTACGTAACTTACTATGTGAAGGAGAACAGAACCGCCTTATCGGAAGGTAACATGAAGTACGGCCTTTAAAGTCTGCAAAGATTCACGCCTCTCAAGATGGGCTTGTCCAATGAGGAAGTCCGGAATCTAAAGTGGGAGATCTGAGATACTGGGGCGTTTTTATGGCCCTTTCTCTGAAAGCATGGTAATTTGCATATGAAACTTGGATCAAGATTACTAGAGACTCTTAGAACACTAATATGTTGCATAGGTATAAACATACAATATAAAGAAAGGTTTTCCTATTAATTAATTAGCAAAGAAAAGTCCTTCCCTAGTGGATTTTCCTTATGGGCAAGGAAGCGATTTTCTCCACCTAAATTCCAGGAGGCCATAAATGTATCTGGTGTCAGGGTTGCCATAGTAACCAGGGGGGCCTGGTGGCAGACATCCTGGCATCCAGTTTATTGGGTGAGGGGACTGTGACGACCTGTTAATCTAATGAACAATTGATTTGTTAAATCAAATGAAAAATGGTGTGTCTGATTGGTCCAGACGCTACATATACTGTATATATATATATGAAGAAAACTGCTAAATTTGGTGTGTGTAAGAGCTGCTGAAGTGGAGAAAGAAACTCATTTTGAGAAAAAGGCCATTAAAGATTGTGACTGAAATCTATAGACACATAAAGTGCAATAAAATAAGCACTACGAATGAACAAATATGGATTTTGCATGTTTTATTTCCAATAGGTTGAAATAAGACATTTATACATGGTTCTAAATTCACTTTACACTACAGCTTTATGGGGCTTATTGCTTTTTTTTTTTTTTACATGTTACTAGCTGGCAAAGTAAACACAGGAACAAAAAAAACAAAACAATTTATTCATAACAAATAATAATTCTTCCACGGTGTATTTCTTCAGCAATGGTTAACAGAATAATTGTCAAGCAACACACAGACGCAGTGGTGCAGTGATACTAATGTAATTTGGTCACAGGTGTGTGTTTATAAAGCATTTTACAACGGCTTCACACGCCACTCAGCCAGCCCTAATCTATCCGTTTTATAAATCAACTTTAACTTTGTGCCGTTAAATAACAGTAATTTACTGGCAGCAGGGTTGCCAGTAAGGTACTGCTAATTTACAGCTTTCAACCGTTAATTTACAACTCTAAATTTTTACAGTGTTTTACTGTAATTCTGCAATGGAAATTAACTCCGCTCTCATTGCTTCAAACAGTTAACGTTTAAAAACTAGTGTTCATACGGTATTAGTACTGTGAACTTATTTAATTTCAGTCCACTGAGAGAGAATATTTCTTAGTATAAAACTGCAAACACGACGCGTAACAGCAAAATAACTAAAAACATGACTTTAACTCAAAATCATTGCAGTTCACTGTTAGCTATAACACACATGTGTGAGATGAAGTAACAAATAGATCATTACTGTATCAGCAACTCCATAGTTACTGTCTTTAAATAAAGCAGCAGAACATCAGTGTGTGTGGCTCATCATTGACTGAAGCACAGGCTCTGCTCTCCAGCACAATGGTGGCCTACAAAACTACATTAAACTAACAGATCTCTCTTTTGAGCAAAAACACAATAATACCGTTCTGTTCAATATTTACTCTCCTTATCAGTTCATGACTTTGCACAACTTTTTTTCTATGGATGTTCACAAATATTTCAGTCAAATTAACTGTTATCATTTGGCAAATATGACTCTTACGCTTTACAGTGTATTGCTTTTAATTCCTAGACTTAATAAACCAAGGTTCAAGATCCTAACTAAAGCAAACACTGATCTCCATCATGGTAGTTTCCCAAAACAACAACATCTAAACCTCTGTTAATTTTCAGTAAGCACTTCTCTACACATCTGACAGAAATAGCAGCAGTCTGGTTAGTAATGTGAAGCTGGTGATGCTGTTTTAGAAGTTGTTTAATCAGATCTTGAGAGATTGAGATAATGTCTTTTATTGCAGTTGATTTCATCAAAAGCTGTGGCTGAAGTCAGTTGTAGTTCTTGTGTTTCTCTTTTCTTCAGTGATTCTGCTTGTTAACAGCAGCTGTTCATCACTGGCTGAATTCACTCATCAGTGTTCGTTCTCTCTGTCAGGTGGACTGTATTAGTAAACTCATGTAGGGAATAGTGAATGAGGGTGTAGGGTGTGATTTGAAACAGCCTCTGAGTGTCGAATCTGAAGGCTGTTACTACAAGAACTGCAGAAGGATACTTTCTCGACAATAACTAATATTACCCAGAATACATTGTTTTTTTTTACAGGATTGTACTGTTGTAATGAAAAAACAGGATGTTACTGTCATAATATGACTATTTTTTTACAGCAATTTTTTTACAGTGTAGCCTACAAAACAGGTAAAAAAAAAAAAAAGCAATAAGCCCCACAAAGCTGTAGTGTACAGTGCATTTAGAACCATGTAGTACTTAAATCACTACGGCTTCAGAGGGCTTATTGTTGTAATAAACTACAGTAAACTACAACACTTCGAAGGCCTTTGTTAAATAGGACGGTCTAGTCTACTGAAGACTGTTCTTGTCGCCTAGCAGTTGTGACAGCTGCCGTTGACGAGAAGCAGTAATGTTTTAAAAAAGTTATTAAAAACAAAACAAGGTTCAAAGCCTGTCTAAATATATTCACCATGGTCCATTTATGTACACAATAAAGAGTATATACTATGTTGGTAAGATGTCAATCAACATCTGAACAGCTTTATATAAGTTTTATATTTACATTTATATCATTAGATACATTAGATTATTCGAGTAAGTAGAACCCAGTACTTACATTTAAAAGTGTAATCTGGCAATTTCTCTCAGGTCCAGGATTGAAAACCAGTATAGAGGAAAACACAATCCGGCAGCATGACTAGGCAGGGAAAGGTAAGACAGGACAGGACAAGCGAACGATGCAGACACATGAAACAAACATTCTCACAAAAGACAAAGAGCACAGAGAGAAATAACGAGGAGGGTAAGTGGGGTAAATGAACTAATAATCAACAAGGAGGGCAGAGTCAGGACTTGTGCTGGCACCAAAAAAACAAGAGCTCCTGGCGAATGAAAACTCACAGACCAGACACTCAACAAAAACACAATGAATGACAGGATCACAGCATGCATCTGTCACCAAACTATATTACTTTATACAATTGAGCCTTAAGAGTTTTACGAGAACTACAAATCTGTAGTTAAACTAACTGAGCACAGCTGCAAATTCTGCATTCATTCCACACTTTTAAAAAACATATTTAAGTAAACTCTGACCAAAAGACTGTCTACATTTTACAACTATGGAGCATCACTGAATTATTATTAGTAATAAAAATAACAAACATAATGCCAAAGTGAATGTATTAAAGCCTTCAGCTCATTGAGATTCTCTGCTGTGGCTCGGCTGGGCGTGGGAGCATTAAACACAGCGGGTTTACTTCAAATTCTGCTA